TTCCATTTCTCCTGGACCGGGTTCCATTCGTCTTGAGCATCTTCCATCGTTCCTGGACCAAGTTCCATTCGCTTTGGATCTTTTCCATTGCCTTCAGATCATACCTGCAGCCTACCCTAATTCGTTTCCATCATACTCCCAGCCGGTCTACAGGAATATGTTCCCGACAGCCTTGAGTTACATGGAACCCTCACTCTTCATGGTCTTCCATTAGTGTCATGAGGTTGCCGATTCAGAGTTGATGGAGCTTGTCGTCCGAAGGTCTATGGAAGCCATATCTTCTTGCTTCATAAAAGCTCCGCAGCCTGATGGAAGTCACTATCTTCGACATTTAAGTCATTTTGGACTTAGGGTCCAACAGAAGAATTAACTACCATACCAAATAATAATAATAATCCCAAATAAAATCATAAATAACTAGGTAAAACACGTAGAAGAACATATGTATTATTAATGCAACCATTTTTTTCATTTTTAGTTAGATTAAAAGACAATCACTGCAATATTTGCATTAAACTTTAATATCTAAACAATACCTCATATCTTAACAACAAAATTTTTGAAACTTTAAATCAAGAAAATATAAACGCTAAATTAACAATACTAAATCAATAGCATTCAAATTAGCACAATTAACAACAAAATCAAAAATTAAAACCTACATCCACAAAATTTATTGAAATTGAATTTTAAAAAAATAATAATAATGATTGTGTACCTTAAAAAAGAAGGATGTTGATGATGCTAATATGACAAGGGTTGGGCTGGCCGACAACGAAGAGTATGTATGTTTGACATTCTTCAATGAAGAAATAAAATGTGAGTTTTAACAAAAATGAGAAAAGCTGCTGACCACCGGGATTGCTGGGAGGGCTAGGGTGGAAGAGGGGGGACGACTACGTGCGTGCTGGGCACAGATGACGAAAAGCTAGATTGAACAAATAATGAACTGAAAGAGAGAGAGGGTTGTTGATTTTTAATCTAAGGGTGAGAGGAATTGAAGAATAATGAAGATGGGACTGGATTTGAAAAATATAAAAATTTTCATTTAATTTAATCAAAATAATAAATTTATTAAATAGAACACATGTCACCATGCCATTAATTGTGCTGAGGAGCCGATAAAACTTTGATACCAATACCATATTGGTACCAATACCGAAACACCAGAAAAGAGGAAGAGGCCTCTAAATATATAGAGAGTGAGTGCTAAGTGAGATTGAAAGAGAGAGAATAGGGTCCTAGCTAGCTAGCTAGCAAGCTGCTTTGCTTTGCAGTTGCCTTGATCAACAAATAAACACAAACAAACAAATGGGACTTGTCCAAGCCGTTTAAATCACCGATTACAATTTGTTAAAATATCAAATTGAAATTGAACTTTCTGAATGAAGGTTTCGACTATGGTTTGAAAAAATCGCTGATTACAGTTTGGACGGATGGTTTATCAATATTTATTTTTAATATTTTTCTTTTTTTTATTTTTCTATATTTAAATTTTATCAAAAATAATTCATTTGGATTTTGATTTTGTTTAAATATATATTTATTGATTATGTAATAATAATATAATAATAATAATGGATTATATTGTTACAATATTAAAATAACTAAATTTAATAAGTAATTATATTAAATTTTGAGTTGAAATAAATAAAAATAAATTATTAAAATATTGATCTATTAGATAATAAAATAATTTAAATTAAATATAATTATATAATAAAATAATTAATATATTATTATAAAATATGACCAGATATAGTGTCTCATTTTTAGAAAGAGTATAATTAGTAAATAATTAAAAATATATTAGTAAAAATAATTATTATATAGTAAAAACAAACTGAAATAGAAAAGGAGTATTACACATCCACAGTGGCCGCAGCCTGCACCTTCCTTTTCCTATGTCATCTTCTTCCTCATTTCTTGTCTTCCTTCTTCTTTTCTCCATCTTCTTTCTTCACAGTTGTAGCTGCCCACAACATTATAGGCTGCTAACCCGCCAGTTCAAGGTAAAAAATATAAAATAATATCTAAACCTGCCAGTTCAAAAATAATTGGAACTGGCGAGTTGAGATTTGACAAATTTACAAACCCAAAACTAAACGGAATCTAAATTTGCTCAAAACAATCTTTCTAATGGTTTTAGAAATTAGAATCAAAATCAAGCTGCGGTTCAACCAACATCCTCAGTCAAACAGGAAATATTCTTGACATGTTGCCCATATTGTGGTATAAAGTACCAGTACCTTAGAGAATACATAAGGAGATCTTTGTGTTGCCAAAAAAGCTGAGGATTTTTATTGGTTATGAAACAGGTGTAAAATGTGCTTCAATGGATCCCAACTTGGGTCAATCTGGTGCCTCTTCAGAAAAAGTTGCTGCAAACATGTCCAACGCCAAAACATGCATTCAAAATGATGAAGGACCTTCAGCTTCACATTTGGGGTCTGGTTGTGATGAAAATGTGTCTTTCTTTTATTAGTGTGCTAAAGGAACACTATGCTTTTATCAATGCTGAAGATAAGAAATTAAAAAAAGTGTGTTGTAACTTTCATTGCCATTATTTTAGAGGTTCTAAAAGTTGGTTTCACTTTTATTTTTTAAAATTTATTTTTCCTCTACTTTTGAGCTTATGTGATTACTGCAAGTAGTAGATATATACTTGCTTATGCATTCACACTGTATTTCTGATTCTCCAATAGGAATGGTGTCCAGTGGCAAAACAATTTGTGTGTGAAGGTGCTTTTTGGAGATTACCTACGGGTAGAGGACCTTACTCGTACCTGTGCCTGCTTCCTCCTAACAACTCTTGTACGTTATTCATTCATCCTCTTCTTTTTTATGGCCTTTAAAGGTGTTAATTGAACTTCATAACAATCTGAGAATTATAGTGGTACATCACTATGCTTAGAGCTTATAGGAAATATGGGTTTGGAGATAAATTTCCTTTTGGAGAGATCAAACAAACATGATTCTGTATCATTTTTGGTTTTAAGGGGCTGTGATTTTTGGATACTATAAATACGGCCCCATTGGAGGTATATGTCTTATTTTTTGTTTTTTATTTTCATTTAGTGTCTTCTTTTGATCCGGTTTTTGGTTGCTGAAAATGGGTTCTTGTTTACAGATTGTGCTGTCCGTGGACCTTCCATGTCTGCCACAAGTATTGTTTTATGAAAAGTATTTTTTGAACATATTCCAAATAATCCTATTATCTCTCATTGTAAGTACAGGGTATTTCCACTGGAGCGTTTGTATGGTTGGCCTTTCATTAGTTAGCTCATATCAACTAAACAACATTTGTTTCATAACGGTGTTTTTGGCATATCTAATGCAAGGGCGGTGTTTTTCTGTTTGTTGCATTTGTATATATTTTTGGGGCTTAACCCTGAAATGGCTATATTTCATATTTGCTTGCTGATACATTACACACTATGCATTGTATTACATTACCGGTTGTTTTATTCTAGAACATATTGATGAGTTATGAACTGTTTAAGGAACATGCAAGTTTTCTTACAAGGATAGCCATCTTCATATCCGCATATAGTTGAAAGTTGAAACAGATAAGTAAAATTATTGTCGCGCATGCAATATATACATAACTAGCATATAATGTTTTGTCATCACCGCGTAACTACGTTGGTGGCTGGTTGATTGGATTCTTTCCAAAGTTGTTTATTAGATGGATAGGACTTGGATAGAAGAATCCAACTACACTTCCAATAGATACTTAGATGGAGTGATCCAATTTTTAAGCTATGCTTTCAATGGAAAAACATTGGAATCAGTTGTACATTGCCCTTGATCATGATATACGACATAATCTTGACTTGATGCACATTGAAAAGAATGTTTGTGAAAATATCTTGCATACATTCTTAGGCACTAGGGGGAAGACAACGGACAACCTTAGTAAAAGGAAGGACTTGCAATTGATGAATATACGGAGGTCTTTACATCCAATTTCCAAGCCCAATGGTAGGGTTTACTTACCGGCAGCCCTTGAGACCTCCAGATAGTTTTAGTTCTAATTTAGCTCGTCGGGTCATAATAGAACAAGAAACTATATGGGGTTTGAGGAGTCATGATTGCCACATTCTAATGCAGCGAATCCTTGGTGTTACAGCTAGACGGTATGTTATGCACTACCCAACCCATTGTTTTGTACTATTGGCACTATAGTTGTATGACTTTGTGAGAGGTGATTTTTTCTATTCTTGTAGGACTTTGCTCAAAGACGTTGTTGTTGTGTTGATGGAACTTTGCACCTTCTTCAACATAATGTGTGAAACAAACAACACAGTACGGGATCTTGAGAAGCTACAAGATAGAATTTCTCTAACGCTATGTCATTTAAAGAAACTTTTCCCACCTTTTTTTTATGTCATGGAACATCTTCTGATTCAAGAGATGTGTACGGAACCGTGCGAACCCAGAGGGTTCAATTGCACGTGGATACCTCGTAGAAGAGGGTATGACATTCTGTTTGAGATATTTTGGGAATTTAGAGACTAAAGAGAATTGTGGTGTGCGAAATGACGATCTTGGATCAACAAGAGGGCGTGGTCTTTTTGGGTCCCGGTGTAACCTCGATTTCATCACTTTGCAACATATACACGGATACATATTAGGCAATATGGAAGTTATTGGTCCACTCAGAAGGTATGTATCTTCAATAAATGATATTTTGTCTTATTATGGGTTACCATGTCTAAACTCCGTGGGGACTCCCATTTCATCCGCAGTGTGCATCTTGAAAGTATCAAGAAAAAATGCGACCCAATGCAAGTCCCCGAGAAGTGCAGCAGATCCACATCAACCAATTTCCAGGGTGGTTTCAAACTTATGTGGGTACACAAACATCACAATTTAGAGTTGGGGGTACACTCAGTAACAAATTTACTGCGAAAGTAATATACTTAACTTGTCTGTAGGTAGAGGATCCTACCCACAATGTCGATGGCACAATCACTGTGTATATGAAGACACTAGCACAAGGACCTTGCACACATGCAACAAGATTCACGTCTTGCATCATCTTTGGAATCCGATTTCGAGTTAAATCAATAGACGAAGGAAAAAAGACTCAGTGTACTGGTGTGATGGTCAATACGGAGACGATTAGCTATGCAAGTGCAAGAGACCCAAATCCTTGTGCAGGTTCGGTCGCATATTACGGGTTAGTAACTAACATTTAGAGGTGAAGTACGGTAATGAAATTCGCTTCCTTCTATTTAAATGCGACTGAGTTGACCTAGAGAAGGGTGTTAAGGATGATGAGTACAGGTACAAGATGGTGAACCTCCGGCACTTGATGTACAGAACAAATCTCCCAACAGATGAACCGTTTATCTTAGCTACGCAAGCAAGAGAGGTTTGGTACATCATTGATCCCGCAGATGAAAACTGGAGCATTGTTGTTCCAATGGTTAGGAGAGATACCTATGATGTTTACACAACCATGGATGATAATTTCAGGACAAGGTTTAACGTTGACGATGGCTGCACATCCAGAGGACCGGCTGATTATTGGTTGAGGGAGGATGTAGAGGGGGTAATAGTGGAAGGTGAAGCCAATATGAATGTAGGCACTAGCCTATCAGGGATGATTGAAGAGGATTCTTCCGAAGAATCTGACTGCGTTTCATTATAATGGAGTGTAGTCCTTTTTGTTTTTGATGACTTTTTGGAAACCTTCCCACATTTTTGGAGTTTTTGGCTGAATTATAGAGTTGGGAAGCTATAAATACGTAGTAGATGTAGGATACTCCAATATCTCAAACCAAACTTCAGGTACATTCATATTACTTGGTTATGTTTTTATATTGTCAATCATTTTTAGTGTCACTACAATGTCGTTATATTGGATGTTCCTTCATATGCATGCTTTATGTGTTTTTTTATTTGTGTTTCCATTTTGATTACGCATTGTAGATTCACCTATGGACATTCGTTGCCTATTAATATATATACCATCTTTGACTTCAGGTAATGGCAAAAACCACTCGAGGAAAAGCAAATGCATCTCAAGATCTTGTTAACTCACCGTTGCAACGGGTCACTAGGTCACTTGCACATGCCACTCCATCACCCTCGGCGAAGGCTGTTCCAAATAAACCTTCTTCTCCAAAAGTGGTTCCAACCAAAAAGAATATGAATAATCGGCCAGGGGCACACGTATCACCTCTTCTGGACCGATTATGCAAGATTACTGCAGAGTGGGAAAAAGAGCGTGATTCCAGGTCGCCATCAGCTACAGCTCCATTCACAGTCTGACGGAGTCTTCTTCAGGAATCACAAGCGCCAGAGGAGGAAGAGATGCACCCTTGTTCTCTTTTCTATTTTGTAAAGTACTATTATTTAAATTGCTAACTTAAGATTGTCACAGTTGGATGGGGATGACTCAGAAGATGATGAAACGATTGGTTCAACTGAAGATCAGGTCCCGAATAATTGCAATCTCGATGACGAAGGTAGAGCACATGAAGTAGAGGTTGAGGAACTCCGGGAGACATTGGGCAATGACATTCGCGAAGAGGATACAACAATGCAAAATGATGGTACGGCTACTTCCATATGTTGTGTTGCTTTGTTTATGGAGGCATTCTCATATAAATATATAACTACATACAACTGTTTCGGCCATCACGCACTTGTTGTAGGTCCTCTTTCGAACAAGAAAACTGGAAGAAGTGCCGAAAAGATGCCCCGTGGTTAGGCTGGTGACAACTCCCTTCAGGTAGTTGTGTCCGATGATGGCAAGCGGATAATAGGTACTGATGTTCATGGATATAAGAGTGTCTCGGGGTGATTGCGAGAAACGAACTACGTCTTCCTCTCCACTATCCGACATTTCAGCAGATCCCAAAGACAACTAAAAAAGGGATCTGGACTGAGGTACAGGTTTGTTGTGGACAATGAAAGTTATATTCACTGCATGTAAATTTGCATTACTCCAATATCTTTGAGTCTTAAGTGGATGATTACTATTTGACGGGGTCAATTATTTTTAGAAAAACTGCGGTCTACCTGATTCTGCTGAGAAATTAATGCTCTCTGACCTTAAAGACGTCTGGCGTCACTTAAATAAAATGTGAAGGCATCACACTTCACACCAATAGAGGATGATAAAGAGGACCTGAAGATAGCTCCGAAAGAGCGTGTTGTTGCAGAACAATGGCCATTGCTAGTGCAGTATTGGAATGACAAAAAATAAAGGTATGTGCCCGACAAAGTGCACTTTTTCTTAGGGCTTGTCACCGGACCAATCAAGTGCTTACATATATGGTGTTTGTAGGATATTTCTAGCAGAAATGCCACCAATGTAGTGAAAAGAAGTTTTTCACATAGAACGGGCAGAAAATCATTTGACATCTTGGCTGAGGAAGTCTGTCTTTGCTTTATTTTTCAGCTTATCATTACAAATCTTGTTGCATGTATATGTCGTTGCTTCTCTTTTTTTCTTTGGATAAGCACTTTTAGTAAGGCCAAGATAAATGTACTTGCAGATAAAGGCCAAAGGCAAAGAACCCGATAGCCTAGAAATATGGATGGCATCCCGCACTAAGGGACAGCACGCGGATAATGAAGAGGCTGATGATATTTTTGTAATAACACCTATTTGTTAAGAGCAAAACAGTTTTTTTGTGTTTTCACCCTCACGTAATGTTATTACATTTGTCTTCAAACTCATTGTATTATGCAGGAATATCTCAATTCTGAACTCAACAAAATCCCAACGCATCAGAGAACACCAGCTGTCCGTGAATCTTTGTACCGACGAGCGCTTGCAGGGAAAAGAAAATGGCAAACTGCGGTTGATGTCGCAGCAACCTCCGTCCAAACCAAGACTCAATCTGTCAGCCATGTCGATAGTGAAGCCATGCAATCACAAATGGAGGAATTTCGCAATGGTATTGCTGAGATGAAGGCAGTCTTGTCTGAAGTTAAAGCTATTAAAGACGAAGTGACTATGTACAAGGCAAAAATTTCTTTGTGGATAAGTTCTTCCATTGGACCATCTCGAGAAGCCCCGGTAAGTATGGTAAATTCTATATGTAACGTGGGGGGAAAATATCGATGCTACTAGTTGATGTGAATCCAATGTCTATTATGAAAGAAACTACCCGGTTGGCTGGAAGGAGGGGCGAGACAGCGGGAACCAATTCACTTGATTTGATGACGGTTTGTGTAATTTATATGATTGATGCCTACAATAATGTCGTATATTCGTTTTACGGTAAATTTTAATTTGTTTCATGCTCTTAACACAAAGGAATGTTGATAATAGTAAGAAATGTTCTGGCGTAAATTGGGACACGTGTTTGTTTTCTCTCCCGAGGACTGGAGAAACGTGTGGTCGGCGAAGGAGTGATGCTAAGCCTCCCTACCCTAGGTTTGTTTGCACTTGATAAGTTATGTTTTGATTGTGTAGTTGTACAGCGTGAAATGGACATAAAATGGATCTTGTGTAAGATTGTTATATCTAGCATCTGATTATATTATTGTAGGACATGTCTATTTGGGTTTAAGGTAGTTGTATGGTCGAACGTTATTTGTAGGGCTTGATTGGTGGTTAATTTGTTGCTATTGGAGAGCTATGTTCTTGTTTTACTGAAGTATTGTCCATCTGTGATCATGGTGATTTATAAATATTAGTATATGTGTAAGCGGAGTTGGCCCCTATGGTTCATGTTGTATTTTTTATTTTCATAATGTTTAGGGGTCAGTCTATTTTATTAGTGATTTTCGAGTTTATTTATTACTATACTTGTATTTGAGATAGGGTCCCTAGATCAAGCTAAAGCGTAAGTTTTATTTTATTATATTCATCCATAATGTTTACAGAGGGAGACCTTCCTCGTAACTAGTGCCCGTTTAACCTATTTATATAGATGATACTCTAGTCATTGTTAAGGTATATATTACAGTTGTAATGGTCCCGGAGACCGCACTTATCCTCCCAACTAATGTTGGAGCAAAAATTTTCGGTGATGTACTCAACGGAGATAATGTCGAGTGGATTTACCGGGATATACCCATTTTTTATTTACTTTATTCCTTTGGAAATTAAATTACTTCAATTTCTGTATTGAATGCTTATATATTATTAAAAACATATTGCAGTTGGTTCGCCGCCCATAATTGCATCCTCCATGATTCTGCACTCGACAAGTTGGGTCATTTATAGTTGTGTTTATGAGTTGCCCTTAAGATCGTACTTCCGTATGATATCACATTTATCTATTTACTTATTACTTTTTGGTTTTGCATATTTTTATTTAGTAGGTTGTTATGTTGGTGTACAGATTGGTGTTTTGTTGGGATGTTTTGTTAGCACCGCTGACGACTAATATTTTATTTTTGGCTAGACTATGAACATCGTTGTATTGATGACCATGTGTAGTATTACCAGGGATTTGGAAAAAATTATGATAAGATTAAGTTTTAAATTATTTGTCACGCAGATTAATAATACAGATAAATGAAATTTATTTATGGCAACAAAGCTACTATGCCACACAGGGACGTCTTTTGTAGCGTAGTTTTAGTTACGGACATTGGCCGGTACAAATGGTAATTTATGGTTGTCTGACTTTTGTCATGACTTTTTGTTGCGGACTAATTTTGTAACAAACAACTTATTTGTTAAGGGGCAGCCTTTTCGTAACGTATTGTTGTTACGGACAAAGCTTGTAACAGAAAGTTTTCTGACAAGATTAGACATTTGTAACGCATTTTTTTATTCGGACATATGTCGTCACAAATATTTCTCTGACAGTATTCAACTTTTATTCCGCATTATTTTGAGAGTTGACCACCAAATATTTGTTACGGATTTTGTTGCAATACGGACTTTTTGTACCGCAATTTTTCGTAGCGGTCAAAATTCATAACAAAATCGACACAAAAATCTATTTTGTACGAAAAATGAATTTTGATTACGAATATTTGACCGTTACAAAAAAAAAAAAAAAAAAAAATATATATATATATATATATATTAATTCTATTCCATTCTATTCAAACCCATTCCGTTCCCGTCCCACTGTTCTGTAACTCACCCCCTGCCCGTCCTCATGAATATGATTGAGCTAGGAAGCACACAACTGACACAATGCTTGCTGTGCTATATATTCTTACACCAATCAACCACCAATTCCCATTTCTATACATAATTAAACATACGTACATACATACTAACATAATCATACAGTGTTACTTCTTACTTAGCTTTTTATTACTACTACAATCCTGGTCGGACACACAGACTCAGGCTCACACTGATCACTTATGAGCACAACTTAGGCAACATCGCCCTAGTATTACTTCTTGTTGTTGATTTCTGCATCTGCTTCTTCTTCTTCATCATCATCATCTTCCTCATCCGGACCTGCATCTTCCTGCAAACTTTTTCCAGCTCCACCACTCTCCATTGCATCCCCTCCAGATGCAGATGCAGATGCGCTGCTTCCATCATCTCCTTCTCCCCCAAATGCCTCGCCACCTTCTTCGCATACACAACTATTTGCTGCTGCTTCGACCCCTCCCCCTCCTCCTCCATCCCGCCTACACAACCACCCGAGAAGGAGGTGCTGGTGCTGCCTTTGCTCGCGCTATGAAACAGCAAGCTTCTCAGCTTACGCTGCTGCCAAATAAGGGCTCCCACAGCCAATTTTGGAGGGAAATTCGGGTTCTGGACCAGATGATTCAGGGCGCCCGATGAAAGTTTCTCATAATTTAGTCCAAGACACAATCTCATCTTCTGCTCTTCACACAAGCCTGAGTGAACCTGAGATCCATCCATCGCATCGTCATGTACACAAACGACTGCGTTACACAATACAAACACTTGTCTATCTATCTCCTACACTATAATGAGGCCAAACTTATTATTAGCATTCCAAGAATTCATTCATAGAGGAGGGTGCCAAGAGCCAATACCTGGAGATACAGACTGATGGCGTCGTATACTCCATCATAGCAGTCTCTAGCCGATTCTGGCAACGCTTCCATCAGGGCAAAGAACTTGGAGGTTTTCAAACATGGATCCGGGGCGACTTCAGCTAGATATAAATCCATCACATTTGCGACTTTTTTAAGCCTACTCAGCGGCACGCAGCAAACTCCTTTGCTGAGAAAGGATTTCACAAGTCTAAGAACCAAATTCACGTCATACAAATAACTTGTCCTAACTGGAGACGGAACCAGCAAATTGTCCAAAGTTGCTTGATCTAGCTGCAACCCGATCATACTCTCTATTTTGTCCCTGCTCGACGTGCTCAAGTTTAGTTTCACTCCAACTCTTAGAAGATGGAATAACATCTTGTACGACACCAATCTAATATCCAAGCACTCGAGCATGTCAATTACTGTCTCCATGATTTTTATCTTTTGATCAGCAGGGGCGGATACAAGCCTTGCTTTCTGGTAGTAAAATAGAAACCTGCTGATAATCCCATGATCGAAATTTCTTGCTATCATCATTTTCACGAGTGCTCGAATTACACTAGTGTCCAATGCCAAGAAATCTTCAAACCACCATATTGTCCTAAAGGAACTGTTCTTAGAGCTTTCGGTGCTTCTAGTGTCACATGACAGTCGAATTCCAGAGCTATCAGATGAAGAGATTGAGGGGCAGGGGCTGACTTCACAAGATGAAGCAATCCTACTGATGAGAGAGTCCGAACACTTGTCAATTACGCTCGTTGAACAGGCTTCAGGGCATAGATCATGGCACTGCTTTAAGGCCCCAAGAACTTCAGACCAACCCCAAGACTTAATCTCTTCCAGAGATTTCTCCATTCTCTCACATAAATTTTTCCTTGCAGAGACAGATTTGTTCATTTTCATGAAGTGTGCAGCACAGGTGAGTGTGTCAATATTGTAAGGACTTATGTTGATTCGCCCTCCGTTGTAGCAAAACCTCGCAATCGCCTCAAAATTCGCAGCTCCTCCGGGGAAGTCATGGAATATCACCTTCAGACGACCTCCTGAGGCACTGAGTAATTTACTAATTCTTCCCGAATAAGTTGACAAAACACCCTACAGAAATCGTACAAAACTTTGAGCCCAGAGAAGAAAACACAAATCGAATCTAAAACTGAATCAAGAGCTGAAATTAGGAACGAAATACTAGTCATAAACAAGGGAAACATCAAACATGCATGCGTTTATTACCACCACAGAAGCAAATCTTTAATTCAAGAACTCGGAATAATTGGAGAGCTTTCAATAATTACACCAAAACTGAAACAGAAACAAAGTATATGAATCCTACCATATACAGAAACTCATTAAGCACCCATTTCACATCATCACAAACACCACTTGCTGAAAAAGAAAGATGAGGGTGGGAGGGTCGTTACAATGTAATAAATTCTCACAACTAGAGAGGGGAGGGGGAGGAAGTTAGGGGAATTAGGCAAAGTGAAGAGGCTACAGTACACAACCTACAGAATAGGGAAACAACAGTAATGGGAGGGAGAGCAAAAATGCTTTAATCCATCTCTTGATAGGTGTGAAGATTCAATCAAAAGAAAAGGAGGAGGAGGAGGAGGCACCAACATTAAATATGCATAGTAGCTCAACATTAAATGAAAGATAAGAGAAGAGGTCTATTATATTCTCTATAACACAAACACAAAATTATAATGAGAATAAACAATCAAACAAACAAACCACACCCCACATTCCAGCAATGTTTAGCTGGGAAAACATAATGATTATATTTAATTGATTCGTACAGACAGCCTGAGTTAATGAAAATTATTGTGAAATGATGATGCTTCGGAGGAGGGAAGGTATATTTAATTTAAACCAAAAAAAAGAGGGATAGCTTTTTTAAGAGCTTATCAATGACTAGAATTAAATTAGCATTGATGATGCGATGCGTACCTTCCTCTTCTTCTTCTAGAAAAATCAATTGCTATGCAGTATTTAAAAACATTCAACCATAAAGAAAACGCATATGACGCTGCGTCAGGCTATATAAGGAATTCAAAAGCAACCAAATGGCCCAAAAGAAAACGAAACTCTTCAAACAGAAAAAGAAGCAAACTTCGGATGGGAAACTGAAAATAGGAGAGGTTTTTCCTTCTTGTCTGTTTAGGAGACAAAAGAGATGCGCATAAATAGAAATATGGGGACCCGAAAAAAGATCTTCACCTTATTCACCATGAATATCTCTTCTCCATTGACATCTACCTCAAGATCAAGAAGGCAATCTTCCATTGCCCCAAATGAATCAACAGTGAAAATTACAAAAAAAAAAAACCAAAACAAAACAAAAAACCAGCCGGGCCGATCTCCAAGAGTCTCTTTTGGAATGGAATTGGAAGTTACTCATTAATCGACCACCCATCCCATATAGAGAAGACAAAGGAAGGGTCTGAGATTTGGGAACAAAATGGTTGAAAAGTGGAATGACAGAGAGTAGAGACAGAGAGACAGACTATATTCCAGGAGGGTGAATAAGGACAAGCGGAAAAGGCCACTTCTTGGTTCTGCAAAAGACTGACTGATATGATATGAAGGCTGTTTGGTCAATTACATTTCATAAAACAAACCAAAGTCATTTCTCATAGATCACAATCATCAAGAGTGGGAGAGAAGCAACAGCCAACAGGTTTCGAAAATTATAACAACATTGATGACATGTGCATTGATCTTGTAGAATAAATACAGAGACAGATCATGCGTAGGCGTAGCGTAGGTAGCCAAGCCAAGCCAAGACAGACAGAGGTGTGACCACTGCCTACTGGCTACTGCCTACTGGGATAATATTCTCTTCACTAAAATAACATTGAGACGAAGTATATTTGGGAGGAGCAGTTGGAATCACTGCAACTGCCCTTATCTGGCTGGCTTGTTTTATGTTAATGTATTGTTGCCTCAGGCTGAGGCAAACAAGCTTCTCGACTTTCTAGCAAGGCCTACCAATTAGATTTATTTTGTTATATGTAAATATTTCTTATTAGAGTTATAACGACACAATTTGCAGCTACCTAAAGATGCTCAGAGAGTCAGTAAAGTTAGTGGGACGGCCGTCAGTCTCAGTCTCAGTCACTCACACTCACACTCACATTACATGTTCCCTATTTAGGTAATTAATGGTAAGCTAATTAACCAAGGGTGCATTTTTTTCCGGTGATTTGGGGAAATTTGTGTTTGAGTTTAGTTTTTATTTAAATTTTAGGATGAATTTGAATTTTATTTTTTGTTTTGTATTTGGGTTTGGTTGAAATTTTGAGAGTTTTGATGTGCATCAATTTAATGGATAATGAATAAAATAATATAAATATGTATTAAATTTAATTGATAAAATTTATATTGTATGATTTGATTATGAATTTATATTATACCCAGCATATATATTTAAATTTTTATTTATTTGTATTATAAAAATTTTTATTTTCTACAAAATGATATATATATTGTATATATTTTTTCCCTTATAATTATATTAGTATGTTTATTTACCCCAATTTTTTCATATTTTACTATATGAACTATGCTTTTCTCAAACTCAACCAAAAAAACACACATATATTTTAATTTTTAAAAAAATAAATAAATAAAGTCAAATCCGCTGCAGTTTAGGTCAGTCAAACCGTAGACAACAGACTCATAATAATATATTTTATATATACATATATATTTATAAATTTTTATTTATTTGTATTATAAAAATATTTATTTTCTACTAAATGACATATATATTGTATATATTTTATTCACTTATAATAATTATAATTTTTTTATATTTATAATTTTCAAAATTTTATTATTTTATTAAAAAGAAAAAAAAAAGACAAAACCTGACTTTGTCCCCAAAACACAGAGAATCCAAGTTTGGGAATTTTTACTGTCCAAATACTGTTTATACAATAAAAATGCCCAAATTGGGTTAGAAACAAGCCCTGGTCAGTCCCCTGGCCTAGTGTATTGACTTCCTACTACTACTAATTATCATTTTTTCTTTATTGCAATGTTAAGTTTTAACAAGGCAAGAAACCCACCGTGTCAAAAAAAAAAAAAAAAGAATTTTGGACTGTGGGGATGTAACTTACATTGTGTGTGTGTATTTGGGTGTGCTTTTTGCTAATGTTTGTATATTTGTTTGGGGTGGGTGTGCTTTTTGCTAATGTTTGTATATTTGTTTGGGGTTTGAATTTTGAGTTGAGTTCTGAATAGTAAAAATTTTGAATTTATATGATATAAATAAATGTTAATGTAACATTTTGAATGTAAAATTGATTTTTTTTTTTGTATAATATAAAAAATGAAAAATAGGTGTTTGATTTGATATTTTTTTTTTGAAAAAAATGGAATAAATAGTATATTTAAAATTCAATCCCCAAACAAACCCACCAGTGAAAGAGAAAGAAGTGAGAAAAAGAATAGATTGTGTCCCCCGTGGTAAAATTATACAACAATATTGAATATAGGTGCGAAGTGAGAGTTGTATTTTCTTCTTCACGTAATTAAATCCCAAAAAAAAACATGAAATAAAAAATAATTTTTCCTTCTCCCTTTTAATATACGAAAATCAATTCTCAAAATGATTTTTGAAAAAAAAAAATTTTGACTCTGCAAAAGATTTCTTTTGAAACCTGGTTCGTTTTGTGAAATTTGTTAATTCATTGATAATTTGTTATATCTTGGAAAGCGATTGGTGGAAAGAGGGAATCGCGTGCTACACGATGCTCAAATTTATTTAAATTTGATATTCAATCTCATTATTGGATTTGCTGATTTGATTTTCGTCACATCTCGAATTCGTTAATAAATTTTCCAACACTTTCTTCAATGAATGTACGATTATAAGTTTCAAAAATTTCATTCTTTTGTAGACTTTTAAAAAAGTGGACTCATTTACTGCATAGGAATGACAGATTCAAATCCCACCACATAGTTTTCAGCATAAACAGCCCACTTCCACGTACACACGCAACGCATACATGCTTGTCTGAATGGAGGGTGCTTCTTGGTACCACCTAGGCTTTTTATTCTCAAAACTAGATTTGTATTATTCTTATAAAAACATATATATGGAATTACAGTATGACTTTAGTAGTAATAATATGTTAAGTTGTGGGATCATATATATATATATATATATAATTCACAGGGATGATGGATCACTTTGGTGTGACAATATTGCATTAATTAAAAAAGCAAAAAATTTACATATCTTTTTCAAGGGTTGCAACTTTATACAATTCAATTTTTTATGTGTGAAATTGAATACATAAATTGATTGCGGTTTATTTTTAGGATTAAAATAGTAATTGAAAAAATAAATTTAAAAAGAAATTAAATAAATCTTTATTTGGCCAAAATAAGAAAACACAAGTGAAAATCAATACTCATGATTTGTGACTTAAAAGTTTGATTTAGCTCTTACTGATAAAAAACAATTAGGAATATAATAGCGCACGACTGGCGACAACCAACGGACATCTACCATAGACCTAATCTACCACCCAAATATAAAACCCCATTTTCGAATGGAAACAAAACGAAGCACATTAATCAAACCGTAGAAGATCTCACCAACACTCCCCAAATTACAAGGAACACAAATCCTTTCAATTTCATAGTGGAAATCGCCGGAAACACACTACCGGAACAACAGTGACTATCATGGATGTTGTCGCGCTCAAGAGATAGGGCGTATACTCTACTGTTATGTTGATATTTTTCAAAAATTTATTTCTATCCCTTGATTAAGAATTTAATTATGTGCAAAATTCTTTTCAAAGAATAAAGGTTTTGGATATAAAATTAGACCCGGACATGTGTTTTTCAAACGAAATTAAAGATTTTTTTTATTTTTCAAAACTGTAATATTCTTGTTGAGTAAGAAAAATCAATGAGTAGGGTTTTTCGAGAATGGACTTATAGATTAGATTATGCGTTTGGGTATAGGCCCAATGGTCAAGGCGTTGTTAAGAAATGGGCTTTCTGTGACTAGGTGATCGGTGGATACAGAGGTCGGACAAGGAGAGGTCGGACGAAGAAAAGGTAGACAGTAGGCATTTAGGTCGGTTGGCATGGAGGTCGAACAAAGAGAAGTCGGGCAAAGAAAAGGCGGCCGACGCGGAGGTCGGGCAAATGGAAGACGGGCAAATGGAGATGAAGCAGTGCATGTGCAGGTCGGGCGAAAAGCAGGTCTGAGGCGGTTGGAAGAAGCTACAACTGGCAATCGGATATGAAGGCACGACCTGATAACGACATTGGAGCGGTTGACATGGGTTTTTAAAATAGGTTTTTTTCACGACCTCAAAGGGCATCTTCAATCGACATCAAATTCAGTGAATTTCATTTGGGGATCATCCTTTTACTTTTACAGTCTATAGTATTTCTTTTCATTTTTCTTGTGTATCGTACGGTGTCTAGGGATTCTTAATCTCAGGCATTTATTTTATCAAATTCGAAGATAATTTCTATTTTCGAATTTTACTTTTTATTGTTGAAAAAACTACATCAACAATTTTGTTTTCAAAAATTTTGTGACATCAAAGATTGTTTTGGGTGAATAAACAAGAACACGATAATTGCTATTTTTCTTAACTTGTTAGTGTTGCAGGTTAGTTGAAATTTGATTTAAGTTAACATATTGGATGTTCACTGTATTTTTTACAAATGTGTGAAAAACCTCAAGGCTGGTAAAATGTTAATCCTTATCCTTTTAATTTCCATTGGGAAGATCACTGATTGTGGTCTGGTCACTAATTGTGGTTATTTTTAATTATGTTGTTTTATGTTTTAATTGTGTTGAAAAAGTCACTGATTGTGACTTATTATTTTCTTGTGTTGAAAATCATTTTAAAAGTTATCAAATAGTGTCTAATTTATGTCCCTGTGTACAATAGATTAAAAGCCCAATGCTTTTCTGGTGTGTTTTCTCTGCTCTTTGACAAATTCTTCTTTCTTAAATTTAAAACAATTTGGTAGTAAAAAATTTTTTCGTTATATTAAAACATGAAATGAAAAGAATTTTGGTAACAAAAAAAAAAAAAAAAAACTAGAATTGTAACCAAAGAGAAAATTGTTGAAATAAATACTATGACTTATTCGTGTATAATTCTTAATTTGTCTTAAAAATAGGTGAGGTTAAAACATCAAAAAAGTTATAGGATAAATTAGAAGAATTATATACTGGAAATTCTTTTCCAAATAAGTTATATTCACTTGAAAGATCTTTTATTTTTAAATTTGATTTTCATAAAACATCGATGAAAATTTGAATGTTTTTCAAAAGCTTATTCAAAATATAAAACTCACCAGTGATACTGTTATAGACATATATTATCCAAATATTTTACTAAATGTCATTCATAACAATTATTCTGATGTGAAATTTGCAATTCAATATGTGATAATTGATAAGTATATATTGTTATATATTTTTTTATAGATAAATTGTAAAATATAATTAATATTTTGGATAGATTTCTACTCATCTTTGGCATGTTATTGATTTGTGCAAGAGAATTGAGTAATTTACGTACATGTCATATTTTTTATCAAAGAATTATGGAAGGACTTGAATTAAGCTCACATGATAAGGAAAATGGTAGATTATGGGAATTGAAGCGTAAATGTTAGCATCATCATTGAGATGGAGCAA